CAAACCACAAAACGGTAAAACCATCATTTAAATAGGGCGTCTCCAACAGTTTTGCACCTGCCACCAGTTACGCAATCACTCTTGTTAAATCACCCGCAAACCATGGTTCAGCCCCTCCAGTTTGCGAGCGCAAATTACTGCACGCAAAATTGGATCTTGATAAATCCGGCCCACTGTGTTTAACATTGTCCAACCAGTCCACCTCCTGTCTGTATGCAGCCCAATGACAGTGGTTTCATCCGCTAACTTCAAGGCTTTCACAGACAGGTCAACTGAGAGGCAGTACATACCACTGAGGTGCTCCGTTGTTGGTGCTTCCTTTACGGATTGGGATAATTGACAGCTTTACTGTCTGCTACCGGTCAATCAGAAAGCTGGTGATCCACTGGTAGGTGAAGGCCAAGGATGTGAGCTGGGTCACCTTCTGATGGTTAATGGTATGGAAGACCGGGCTAAAGTCCGCAAACTGTCCCTGAGTGTTGGAAGTGGTCGAGGATGAAGTGTAAGCCGAAGGGGACTGCGTCCTTTTTTTAAAAAGCTTCAGGGTTTGATGTTTAAATAAATGAATGACCACAGATGATGGAGCAGCAGCCCTACGGGAGAGAAATATCAGCTGTGCTGCTGCCATCATCACCTTGGTTTATAGACGTTTGAGATCTTCTGGAAACACAGGAAGGAGCAATCAGCTAAGTGAGCTTAGCGCTTGGAAAAAATCATTTATTTATTTAGAGACAGCATGAAAAGTCAGCTGAGTACAAAACATAGAGAGGAAAACAAGAAGAAAAGGGACAAGAAGAGAGGGACACAACCTAGAACTAATAATGGATTTCTATTCTATTAAAACTTCTATTTCTATTAATTAGTTTACAGGTGCTTTTTGGACATGGATTCTCTTTATGCTCCTTGTTGTTTACTCTTGCTTTCCAAATAGTTTTAATGTTTTAGATTTTAGTTTGAGCAAACAGAGGAGTTGCAAAAACACCTTCTGCTCTGCAGGATGACGGATCATCTCTGTTGTATGGAGAAACTTCTTAATCAGAGGAAGTTAAAATTCATATTAACA